TGTGACCTCCAAACCCTACACACACCTTGTGTTGCAGGGGTGCCTTTTGTTGCAAGCGGGGCTTCCTCCGCAATAGATAGGATGCTTCTCCTGGATTGAGAGGGGGGGAGGTACTCAAAACAAGCCGACAAACAACAAAACGTGCTCTAGGGTGCTAGTGATGGTGGGGGCATCCCTCAGCCGCTTCCTTTCATTGTGTGGACACAGCTTTCCCTTGTTCAAAATCCTCTGGGAGCCTGAGAATGGGTCTTGGTTTAAGGAAGAAATAAATGATTTCCTGGTAAGGATTCATAACAATGGACTGGCCTTCAGCCTAAATATCTCTTTCCATCCCTTGTCCATCTCCTGATCCAGGGGAAACTATAAGTATATATGGCTATCCCAAACAATCAGTAGATTCTAACCAATCAGTGGAAATCCAGCCAGGCACATGCCATGGGGCTAGACCTACTCAGAGTAAACCTACTGAAACTAATAACCATGGCTTAATCAGGTCTGTTGTTTCCACTGGGTCTACTCTGAGTAGGCCTAGCATTGGATACAACAGCCCATGTTATTCAGTATGTCACATGATGCTCTGGCTAGGTATTTATAACCCTCTGGCTACCAGCTGGTACCACCCTGCCATTTGTCGACTTTGTGAAGCACCACTGTATACTGGGTTGAACTGTTAACTGCTTGGCCTTGGCTGGTGCGCCCTGCTTTGATTGGCAGCTGATTTCCCAGTCCTTTGATGAGAATCTCTCTACACACATGATGACAGGTTTAATACAAGGGTTAAACCTGTCATCCACTGTCTTCTTGGTAGGGTGTGTTTCTGTCTCTCTGGGCAGAGCCACAGAATATGTTTCAAGCACATTTAACAGAGAGCCTGGGACTGTAGTTTTCCCCTCACGATTCCCAGCACACTTGACAAACTACAGTTCCCAGGATCCTTTGAGGAGGGTGTCACAGGCTTTGAATGTGCTTTAAGTGTATTGTGTGTTTCTTCCTGTTTAAAAAGTAAGGTAACATAAGACAGATCCATAGGACAATACATTTATGAGGTGAATACAAAAGTCACATCCTTGTGAGTGAGCTCTTGAGTTCTCCAGGCGAGGTCATGGTTTGGAGAACTTGTGGTCCTCTAGATGTTGCTGGACTCCAGCTCCCATCAGCCCCAGCCAAACATTGCCACGGGTCAGGGAGTAATGGGTATTGGAGTCCACCTGGAGGGTCACAGGTTCCTTATCTGTGAGCTAGTTGTCAAGCAAAGTAGAGAGGGAGGCCAGAGGGAACCAACTACCTTAGTGTTAAGACCAGGGGTCAGCAAACTTTTTCAGCAGGGGGCCGGTCCACTGTCCCCCAGACCTTGTGGGGGGCTGGACTATATTTTGAAGGGGGAAAAAGAACGAATTCCTATGCCCCACAAATATCCCAGAGAGGCATTTTAAATAAAAACACACATTCTACTCATGCAAAAACACAGAGTCCCGGACCGTCCGCAGGCCGGATTTAGAAGGCGATTGAGCCGGATCCGGCCCCCGGGCCTTAGTTTGCCTAAGTTAAGACCATCAAGTCTGCATTGAAGTTGAACATTGGAAGATTCAGGACAGATAAAAAACAAGTGTTTTTTCATGCGGTGCATAGTTAAATTAGGGAACTTGCTCCCACTGGAGGCACTGGTGGCCATTAGCTCGGGTGGCTTTAAGAAGGTTGGACATATTCATAGAGAATAAGACTGCCAGTGAGTTCTGCTTCCACAGTCAGATGCCGCAGTGCTTCTGAATACCACAGGAGAGGAGTTGTGATTGGGTTCTGCTTGAGCGTTTTCCATTGGGGCATCTGGGTGGCTGCTGTAAAAACAGGATGCTGGACTAGGTAGGCTATTGGCCTAATCCAGCAGGGCTCTTGTTACCATACATTCTTATGAACATGGATTCCCCCCCCCCTTGTTCTTTTTTAAAAACAAACAACAAACAAAAAAACTGTGCAGTTTTTCATATCTTCACACCCACCTCTTAGTTATCACTTCAGGTAGGATGATTTCTACAACACTCCAATCCCAGTTAATGTGAGCCGTTTAAAAAACACATTGCAGTGAGATATATCAATTTTCTTTAATACTGAAAGTGTACAATCTTGCAATGAACAGGACTTTGCACTTTGAAAGGGAAGCTTTATCATTTTTTTGAAGATAGAGTCACAGAGCTGTGGAACTACTTGCTGCATGAATACAAAGGTATTATTAAGACATGCAGTGGTGCCTCGCAAGACGAAATTAATTCGTTCTGCAAGTTTTTTCGTCTTGCGAATTTTTCGTCTTGCGAAGCACGGTTTCCCAAAGTCTTCAAAATCACCAAAGTCTTCAAAAACCTCAAAAAAGGCTACCACACCGCATGCTATGAGTTGCTCCTCGAAGTCACCCTGGGTATTAACGGTTTTAAGAAAAAGGAAACAAACTTGCAAGACGTTTTCGTTTTTCGTCTTGCGAAGCAAGCCCATAGGGAAATTCGTCTTGCGAAGCAACTCAAAAAACGAAAAACTCTTTCGTCTTGCGAGTTTTTCGTCTTGCGAGGCATTCGTCTTGTGAGGTACCACTGTATCGCTGTAGCATTTTGGGGTGGAGAGCTCTGTCCTAAGAGCACTTTAAACAAAGTGATAAACCTTGCAGGAAATGAAAACAGCACCTTTGTTGGGGTGACTGGTGTTGTGATTGCTCCATGTCGGCTGGAAAAATGAACAGCAATGTGCAGCTCCAGATTGTCAAGGGGTTAGAGCACTGTACTTGCAAATAAAAGGTCACTTAAGTTTAGAACAAGGGTGGCTAAGCTGTGGACCTCCATATGTTTCTGAACTACAACTCCCATCAGCTGCAACCAGCGTGATCAATATTTGGGGCCCATGGGAGCTGTCGTTCAGCAATATCTAGAAAGGGTACAGGTTCCTCAACCCTGGTTTAGAAATGGAAAGAGGGCGCGCCACATAAGTGCACAGAATTACAAACAGTTGTGTGCGCGCGTGTGTGCACACAAACATACAGAGCAACATTCCTTTTATAAATCTAAAACTCAGGATCATTTGAATGAGTTCAGGGCTCTCAAAACATAGCCTACTTTTTTCACACAAGGCATAATTGACAGTACGATTCTAATCATGTTCATTCAGAAGCAAGTGTGGTTTTTGTTAGTGGGAGTCGGTGGCCACTAGCTTAAAAGGGATTATATAGGAATTAAAAGTTCAGGCAGCCACATTCTGCATTAATTGAAGTTCCCGAGTGGTCTTCAAGGGCAGCCCCTGTAGCAAAATACCACAGTAATCCAATTGGAGAGGTTGCTAGACCATGAGAGTACATCTGTCCAGAAATGGTGGCAGCCAAAGCTAGAAAAACAGACCTTCTGTGACACCGAGTCCACCTGGGCTTCTAGTGACAATGCTGCATCCAGGGTACATACACCTGAGCTGGCAGGTCTGTTGATTGTAGGCCTCTTCCACCCAGCTATACTGGTCACATTAAACAGATTCTCAAAGACACGGCTCTCTTGCACGGCCTTTTAATGGATGGGGCTGTAGCTTAAGAGAGCCAGTGTGGTGTAGTGGTTAAGAGTGGTGGACTCGTTATCTGGTGAACTGGGTTCGCTTCCCCGCTCCTCCACATGCAGCTGCTGGGTGACCTTGGGCTAGTCACACTTCTCTGAAATCTCTCAGCCTCGCTCATCTCATAGAGTGTTTGTTGTGAGGGAGGAAGGGAAAGGAGATTGTTAGCCGCTTTGAGACTCCTTCGGGTAGTGATAAAGCGGGGTATCAAATCCAAGCTCTTCTTCTTCTTAATTGAGCTGTGCATTTTTGCATCCAAAAGGTCCAAGCTTCAGTCCCAAGCATTTCCAGGTAGGACTGGGAAAGGCTCTTTCCTGAAACCTTGGAGAGTCGCAGGCAATGAGTTTGGGCAATTCTGAGCTAGATGTTTGAAGGGAGCAGATATCATTGTTGGGGGGAGGGGACACAGAAACAATTAGCATACCACATTGTCTGTGTTCTGATGTTTCCTTAGGTCACTTTCTTAGATCTTATGTTTAAAGCACCATGATATTACTTTTTAAAAGCACCTGTGGCTTCCTCCGTAAAATGCTAGGGACAGAAGTTTGCTAAGAGTGCTGAGAGCTGTTAAGACTTCTAACAGAGCTACAGTTCCCAGCACCCTTAATCTCCAGGTCCCAGGATTCTTGGGAAGAAGCAGCGACTGTTGGAAGTGGCATAAGAGTGCTTTAAATATATGGTGTGAATTAAGATAGCTTACAGGGAGTTGTGTGGCAGGATACTCGAGCCAAATTTTTTAACGTCTTAAAAAGTAGGGAAGGAGAAGCAGGGTGTCATCCAGGTTGAAAGCAATGTGTGTGACTTCCAAGGTGGGTGGATTGACTATGAGAGTGACATTTGATGCTTGTCACACTTGCAACAAGTATGCCAGTTTGCAGTGCAACATGAATTCTGCTGCTCATTCCTTGTTCATGGATCACATTGAGATTCCCCCTCTTTGCTCCTTGCTGAGATACCAGCCATAGAACAGCTGCCCAGCTCATGTTGGGTTTCTTCAGAGGATGTAGCCGAGTGCATCTGGTGCAGTTTTGTGTCATTGCAGGAAGACTTCTTTCCTGGTGCAAATTTGGGTGAGCATTTTTAGAATGAGTATTTAGAGGTTGCTGAAACTGCACTTCCTTTGTTCTCGCTCCAGGAAGCTTCACAGGAGGGCTTAAAGCGTCTGTCTGTGCAGGGCTGAGTGACATGCTTCCTGTTTGATAACAATGCTGGTATCAGGTGTGATGTGAAGGAAATGATCGGATTTCCCTTCCCCATTGCAGCATCTCCTTCAGCTCAGAGCAGAATTGACCTTGCAACATGCCTGTGGTAGGGCTGAGCTGCTTGGAGATTTTCCAGGACCTGTTGAGTGGGGAAAGTGTTGTGGTTTAGGGAGCAGAGCATCTGGTCTGGCTCAGCCTAAGGCAGCTTCCTGTTCCCCTGTACTGGGAAAGGAGCATAGCTCAGTGGTACAGCTTCTGCTTTGCGTGCTGATGGTCTCAGGTTCAATCTCCAGCATTTCCAGGAATGGCTGGGAATGTCTGAAGCCTGGAGAGCCACTGCCAGCCTAGCTCAGTTTTGACTGGGCATGAAGGCAACCAGAATGATCTGGGATGGAGAGACGCCCATATAGGGAAAAGGTTGCACTATTTGGGACTCTTTGGTTTAACAAAAATGCAAGCAAGAGGCTACATGATAGAAGTTCATTAGAAATAAGCGTGGTGAGGAGAAAGTGGGTGAGGGTCAGAGACAGTAATGCTTCTGAATCCAATTTGCTGGAAACCACAGGAGGTGAGAGTGCGCCTGTGCTCAGGTTGACCACTGTGAGAACAGGATGCTGGGCTAGATGGGCCATTGGCCTGATCCAGCAGGACACTTCTTACTTTCTTAAGGCAGCTTCCTATGCTCCTGTTCACTGTTTCCCCACCGCAAACACTTGCGTTGCCAACTGAAAACCAGGATGTTGCTCAAGAGCTGAAAATACATGTCATCTCCAAACCAGGCAGACATGCAATTTTTCTATCTCACCTGCAGCAACTTCCAAAGCTAGGAAACCCATTCCTTGTTGCTCCTATGACAGTCATGGCAGCTTGCTATCGGTTGGGTGCGCAAGGGGTTCAAGGGTCCAGGAGCCCACCGGCCGTGGAGAGTGTCTGCAGTATTTTGGCCTGGTGACTAGCTTGGCTGCAGTCATCATAGCAGGGCTTAAGAACCAAAGGAGGGCCCCCCCCCCCATTGCAGTAATGCATGGCTTTTCTTTTCTTTTTAAAGAGAAGTCATCCTGAAGTTGTGTATCAGACACAATACCTAGTGGCAAGTTCAAAAGATGGTAAATATTAAAATAAAACAAAACAGGTGGGGTATTCAGGGGACCCAGCCAGCTGCTTCCTCTGATAGCAAAATCTAACGGTCTGTGTAAAGTTCAGAACAATATTTATCTAAATCTCCCAAGCGATATCCGGTCTCTTTTTAGGTCTGATTTGGACACATCCTGTAGGCAGAATAAGAATGCCCTTAAAGAGGCAGCTAGCAACAAGACAAAACAGCTTGTTTGGATCAATGGAAAAGCGCCGTGTAGCAAGGAACAGTTCTTTGTGTTTGAGGTGTGTGTATACAGGGTTTCTATGAGACTGGATTTTCTTTTTTTCTTTTTTGCATTTTGTCTGTCCTGTGTCCAATGGGTTAACGTTTTGCTGAGATTTTGAGCCATTCCTTTCAGGCCAGGATAGAGCAGCAATTCCAAAACCTTTCAACACCCAGGGCCTTCTTGAGATGACTGAGAATTACTGCCTCTCCCCCCCCCCTTCTAGTACAAAAACAGTGTAAAGGCAGAGTCAGTCACAAAATGGAGGCAGAGTGTGGAATAATAATTTGGCAGTTAATGACATCAGTTTCTATTGATATCTCATCTATCTTTGGAAATGGTTACTTTCTTTTGCCACAGTGTTTTCCTTGTGGCAAGGAATCCCGTAGCTCAAATGACAGACATTTTGCTCTGGAGATATTGTGCCTTGGCCTCCCCATTTAAGTAGAATTTGCTCTAAGCCAGGCATAGGCAAACTTGGCCCTCCAGATGTTTTGGAACTACAACTCCCATCATCCCTGACCACTGGTCCTGATAGCTAGGGATGATGGGAGTTGTAGTTCCAAAAAACATCTGGCGGGCCGAGTTTGCCTATGCCTGCTCTAAGCCAAGAAGGCTTTGTCTTTTAGATTCTTCCTTCCCACTTCCACAATATTCCCCCCCCATCCTTTGTAATTTCTTATCTCATTCATTTCAGCATTGTACCTTATTCCCCCCCTCAGCCAAACAGTTTCTTTCATTGTTCCTTCCTGGTTCTTTTAAATTCACCTCTTCCTCCTACAACAACTTTCCTCTCTTATCCCCTACCTTTCCATTCCCCATAAATCAGTCAATTGATTTGTCCTGACCCACCAGCAAGGCTCTTACTGCATTCTACCTCCATTGATGGAGGCAGCAGTACTTCTGAATACAAGTGGCTGGAAACCACAGGAGGGAAGAGTTGCTGTTGCATTCAGGTCCTGCTATTGGGGCATCTCATTGGCCACTATAAGAACAGGATGCTTAACCATATGGGCCACTGGCCTGACCCAGCAGGTATTTCTTTCTTTCTTTCTTTCTTTCTTTCTTTCTTTCTTTCTTTCTAGGGAGTCTACCCCGCTACCAGGTCTGGCTGCTTGCCCTTCTGCCCCAGTATTGACTTCTCTTGTCCGGCAGTGGTCCTACAGGGTCATAGGCAAAGAGAAGAGGCAATGTTTCCCATCGCCTGTTACCCGATCCTTTCAATTGAAGATGCCTGGTATTGAATCTGAGACCCCCTGCCAGCAAAGAGTGGCCTCTGGAAATAAAAACATAAGAAGCTCTTCCGATTATGTGAACATTCTAACATCTTAAAGTCATCATGATAACCTTTTGATAATCTTTCTGGGAGCTTGCATAGCTTTGTGTTATGCATGCTAAGTTCATGCTAAGCTGCCACCTCTCTGTCCCATTAACACCAGAAGCCCAGTAGGTGGTGACAGGAGAGAGAGGCCTTTCTGTGGCTGCTCCCCTAGATAGGATTCTCTCCCAAGAGAGGTTAAATGGGCTCCCTCCTTGTTATCCTTCTGACAGGCCTTTGGAAACTAAGGATCAGATGGTGCTGACCGCTGGGCTGTCGTCAGGGCAAACTGTATTTTACTTGCTGGTTCTAAATGTGTTCCAGTGTATTTTAATAATTGTTTTTAATTAGTTTGTTGTTATGACTTGATATTTTATAATAGATTTTTTTTAATGTTGAAACCTGCCTTGATTCCCAGCTTCAGAGAAAAGTAGGATATAAATACATTTGATATAGAAAAAGAGGGGTGGTTGGCTTTTGCTGCCGAACTCCCCAAGGGACTGAGTCCCCTAAGTCTATGATCGGTCAGAGATGAATGGATGGAGGCAGGATGCAGAAAAAGCAAGGCAGATCTTTATTTTTCTGTTGCAACAGACTTCCCTCCCCTCCTAGCCAGGAGGCAAGAGAGACACATAACCAAGAAGAAACATCTCTTTTAAGGGTTTGTATTTTGGCGTGGAGAAGAAGGACATCCCCTCTACAAACAGGCAGTGATTACATCACACATAAAGTGGGGTTACTATGGCTAAGGCAGGCCAGGATGTGATATTCCTGAGCTCTGTTGCAACAGAAAAGTAAAGATCTGTCTTGCTTTCACTGCAACCTGCCTCCATCCTTTCATCTCTGCCCAATCATGGACTTGGGGGACTCAGTTCCTTGGGGAGTTGGGCAGCAAAAGCCAGCCACCCCTATTTTTCTGTATCACATTTAATAATAAATATAATGGTTATGATTATGGTTGGGCTTAGTGTTAGATATGAGCTGAGCCAGTGTGCTCGAATGGACCCAGTGGCCTGACTGGGCATGTCAGTTTCCTAGGTGTGCTGTTCCCGTGAGAGATAGTGCCTCTCTCTTACTGCTCACCATCCTGGAGATAATAAGTGACATACTATGCATATTCAAATAGGTGAGCCAGTCCAAAGGGTCCAAGCAATAGGAAACCCAGAAGATTTCTTTGGGGGTGGGAGATGGGAGGGAGAAGGGAGAGGGGGAAATGGGGCAAAATAAGTGGGAAAGGCACATTGCTAGTTAGCATGCAAGAACTTCACTCATCAGCATTAATTAGACACTGGCGTCTTTCCACCACAAGTTGACTCCCCAAAGTGGAGAAAAACAGAATGCACAGTGGATGTAGATTTGAGTGTTCAGAGGCACCTGGTGTTTCCTCTGCTGGAAAGTGGGGGTGGGCCCTGTTATTTGCTCCCCCATTCCTCCCCCTAAGAAAGTGGGCAATTGCCCCTGCCTAGTACAGAAGGCCTGAGTTTTCTCCCTTTCCGCCTTTCCTCCCCCCCCCCCCATCCACTCCTTTTATAAAATGGGTCTTTGTGCGCCCAGCGACAAAGTCCGAATTGATGCTGGGTTTCCTGCCCGCCCCCTGCCGCTCGCTCTGAGTCACACACCCACAAGAAGGCTTTTGTGCTTCCAAGCCGACAATGGCTTTGCTCTTTCTCTCTTTTTTACTGCGTGCCCCCCCCCCCCCGCCGGAACCCAAAGGCAGATTATTGTTGGCATCTTCTAACAGGGGTGAGAGAACGTAGTTCTTTCTGCCAAAGTACATCCAGGAATGCCTGACTTGGTCACTTGGCAAATGCTGCCCTTTTTCTGAAAGATGGCCACTGTTCCACTAGGCTGCTCTTTATCATTATTTTAATTTATTAAATTACTTCTATACCACCGTTTATCTGAGGATCACAGGGTAGTTTACCATGTGAAAACACAAAAATAGATAATATGATAAGCAACAAAAAAATACCTCCCCCTGTTTAAAAGGCCATAGATTGTTTAATCAGCGAAATGCCTGGGAGAAGAGGAATGTTTTTGCCTGGTCCTAATGATGTATAATGAAGGTGTAAGGTGGGCCTTACTGGGGAGAGCATTCCACAAATGGGGAGCCGCTGAAGAAAAGGACTGCTGTCTTGTTGCCACCCACCAGCACATGAAGAAGGGCCTCAGATGATGGTTGCAGGGCTCAGGTTAGTTCACTGAGGGGTCTTCAGCCTTGACCACCTTGTAAGTCTCTCCGCCTGCCTGTTAACCCAAAGTGTTCTTTGTCCCTAGATATATAGTGGCTGGTTGATCACATAGTAAGGGGGAACGCTCAGTAGATCAGGGGTGCGGAGCAGTTTTCAGCCATATTCACATCTGCGGACCTCATGCCAAGGGTGGTCAGGACAGAAGTGAAAGTGGACGGGGCAGCACAATTTGTACTGTTAATTTAATTTGTACTGTTGTATTAAAGGCTGCATCACAGCAGCCAGGCACACACCAGCGGTTTCCACACACCTGCATCTCCATCATGGCAGGGGAAATGTGTCATCACAGTTCAAGGAGACATTCCAGCCAGTTGACAGCACTCAGGGTGAGGTTTGTGTTCTGGGTGGGGAGAGATCCTTGGGGACTGGACT